CGATTGGGTTGGGGCTGGGGTTGGGGGTATAGGGGGGGGGGCTGGGGCTGGGGGGAGGGGTGTGTGGGGCCAGGGGGTTGGTGGCGTCCGAGGTTAGGTCTTAATGATTGGGGTGTGAGGGGGTGCGAGGGGAGGGGGGCCCGTTGCGGTTGCGGCCTAGAGGTTGTGTGGAGCTCGTCCTCAAGCGACGGGGTCGAGGAAGAAGAGGATGCGGGAGGTGGGGGCGGAATAGCTTTGGGGGAAATAAGGATGAGGGAAGAGGGGGAGATGGACGAGCCGGAATGGCAATGAAACGGTACGGCACTGGTGTTTGGAGGGACCTAAGGGGGTTTCCGTCGGCGCTTTGTTGTGCAGTTTATGAGTGCTGTGCGTCTTCCGTGCGCCGTCTTCCTGATGCGTGCGTTACAGTGTTTTCATGTGTCCTGTTTTTACAAGTTTGGTATCTGTACGTGCGTACGTATGATGAGTGCGATGGTCTATGTACGTGTGTGTCGGAAAGTCTGTATGTGTGCCTGTTGGGTATGCGTGCGCGGATTAAATGTGCACGTGTTCATAGTTTTGCAGGAGTATGTACATGTATGTATGTATGCCTCTTAACGTCTGCGCACCAACACGCGTGTAGTAAAATATGATGTACTACATCCGATGATGATGGTGATGATGATATTTCTGATGCCGCGAAAGGTGTTCCCGGTTCACCTTGGAATTCTGCCACAAGGTGTACGACAACCCATTGTGGGGGGGGCCCCGTGGGGTTATTGCCCCTAGACTGCTCCTATGCCGTACAGCTCGTCCCGGCAACCTTTTTTTCCAGGTGTTCTCATTAGCACGCTATGTACGGTTGTACATTTTCACTGCCGTACTGCGGTTTGGTACTAAACCATGTCCGTATGCAGATGGTCGCGCGAATGCGTGTGCCGGGGGCCGAGTGGCTCTGCCCTTCCGACCCGCCCTCTGGCGCCCACCCCGCGCTCATCCGGCAGCCGCCCGTGTACGTTATTAGATTGACAGGGCCGAGTGGTGGCGGCATGGGAGGTGTTGGATGAAGGCCTTGAGCCCCCTCCCCGTCCGGGTGAGGCCCTCGCCGCTCAAGCCGTACACAAGGGGGGGGGCCCCGGTACATACCGACATACATACCCACTTACATACCCACTTACATACCCACTTACATACCCACTTACATACACACTTACATACCCACTTACATACACACTTACATACACACTTACATACCGACATACATACCCACTTACATACCCACTTACATACACACTTACATACACACTTACATACACACTTACATACCGACATACATACACACTTACATACCCACTTACATACACACTTACATACACACTTACATACACACTTACATACCGACATACATACACACTTACATACCGACATACCACGGAGGAGGGGAGGGGGGTCCAGAGCTTCGGGGTGATGGAGCCTTGTTGGAGCCGGCCCGGGACCATATTGTAGGTATACAGCTGCACGTGTGTATGTGTGTATGTATGTAGTATTATGCGGCGCAACTGCGGCAGCTATCGCAGCCACATGCAGCATGCAGGTTCGGTTGGGTCGAAACGAAGTAGTGTTAGCCTTCTTAGGCTGTGCGGCCCGTACGGCAATATCCCAGTCGCATTGCGGTTCACTTGGGGGTTGGGGCACATCTTTTAAACTGCCTACTACAACTAGTACAACTACCCGCCGCAAGGTGCCTCCGGAGCTTCCGCATTTCATGTATTCCGGTTCCGCCACTTTCGCGTGCGTGTGTGTATGTATGTACCTCCCTTCGCGGCTTGAGGGGTAGGGTCGTTCGTGCTGAGCACGTGCTAGGCATGTCGTGTAGATAAAGAACTTTAATCAATAGATCGTTGAACATTAGTTGCTACTAGAAATAGAACTCTGAGGTATACAGAGTTGTAGAGCGTTGCATTTTTTGTCATGCGGGGGCCCGTAGCTGCCATGCCACGGACTGTAGTGGCGTTGTCGTACACTGCACGGCACGGCGGAGACCGGCATTACCCGACCACCTAATGACGGGCCGCTGCGAATCTACTGCGGGAAACACGTGTGCTCCTCTCTTTTCGTTTGAGAGGGAGGGCATGGCAGACGGCTAAACAATTTGCCTTTTGTGGCTGACACACATACACACAGAGATACACAGTTGGCTCGCCAAACCCCTTCGGAAACGACGGGATGGTCTGGGTAGTTTCTTGCCGTACTCCTGCTGTGTGTGTGTGTGTGTGTCGGAAGCTTCTGGACCCGACCTCATGCCATACGAAATGAACAAGTCCGAAGTGTACGACACACACACAGCAGGAGAAATATTATAATATTATGAGTCCTACCGCTGTAATTTGTTTTCGCATGATTCGGGTAATGCATGCGCCCGCAGCTGATGTCCCTATTTCCCTGACAGCCGCGGCATCATTGCAGAGGTGAGGTGGCAGGAGAACCGCCCGCTAGTTAATTTTAGTAGTGTAGCTGCCGAGTTGTTGTTGCGGCCATAGTTAGCCATGTGTACCCCAGGGCTCCCCGACATGGCCTTTGTCAGCTGCCCAAATCCAACAACATTTCACGCTGCACAGTAACGGTCAGCATCGCAACAACTCAGGGTGCTAGCACAGATACGCAGTGCTTCGCTGTTACGCCTTGGGTGTTAGCTGTTTGAAGCGCAGAGCTGCGACGGTAATGGAATAAGATAAATGATAAAGACTTCATCCCCTTTAGTTCCCCTTTAGATAAAGGTTGCCTCAACACCGGTGCGGGAAGCTGTCAAGGCCTGCTGTGCTGTGCACGTGCGCAGCTCCCGCAACTACTTGCTGCCCCGAGCTTCTTGCCACAGTCTGTGAGAGAAGTTGATTTGTCTGGAATTTCCTCTGCCCATGTAGCATATGATGTATCCTAACTGTTATGCTCTCTCTTTCCAAGAGTGACACCCTTGTTGTGCCCTAGCGTTCTGCTTGTCGCTCAGTGACGTATCTTGTACTAGCCATTGATTTAATGTAATAGTTGCATAACTAAGTTGCGTTCAGCGCGCCAGTATGCAAACAATTCGGGGTGCCCTGCAAGGGCGCCCCACGTCTTCTCATTACCAAGTAATAGGTGGCCATCAAGTACACGGCAGCGCTCCTGGTGAGGCAGCACTTAGCGGCACAGCGCTGCATGCGGTGTAATGTCGCGGGATGCGTGTAATGCCGTGCAAGCAAAGTAACTCAGGAACTTCACAATCGAGCAATAGTTATTTGGATGATGACGCAGCACATAAAAGTCCTTGCGAATGGGCACTGTCGCTAACACGGTTCAAGCGCATCAACTACGGACCACCCAATAGGCAATCGCTCCCTTCGGGCCGCCACTCATTCCCCCAGCTCCCCAAAAGCCAAAATGAGTGGTTCCTGCCACTGACTCACCTACTCAGCAATTGATCCCCCCCCCTGTTTCCACTGCCTACCCCCTTGCTCCTTGCCTCCTAGCCACTTATCCGCAACCCCCATCCGCACCTCCCCCCGCTACCACGCTTCCGGCCGCAGCTTCGAAACCATCTCGCAAACTCGGTCACAGACTTCTTGGCTGGGCCATGTCGGCGCTTGGAATTCGGAAGCGTGTCCTGCAGGTCGCTGAGGCCGTAGTGACGGCGCCATCCACTTCATCCCCGAATGCATCAGCAGAAGCGGAACCAGGTGCAAGAGCAGGCACGGAAACCCCGGGTCGACTCCGGGTGAGTTGGGGGCACTACCCCTCTTTTCAACCCCGTGGGGGTTTCCACGGGACGCTCTACTCCTCCTCCCCCCTTGCTTCCTCAGGAAGCCGCCCCAGGAAAGAGACTCCCTGCACATACAGCACGTACATCTCCCCCCCGGCATAGTACACCCTTCCCGACTCGCGCATCCCGCCGTACCGTCAAGTCCTCCTCCTTTACCCCATCACCCCGATCCCACCCTTCCCCTCAATCGCCGTCAATGGCTTCCCCCTTTCCGTCCCTCCCCGTCAGCGGCTTGTTCCTCCCTCTTTCCCACCCCTCCCCTCTCGCGTCCCTCTTCCCTCCTTCCCCCGGGTTAGGGCACTTTGCGGCGGTTAGTCGCCCGCAGCTGATTCCTCCGATTGCCTCTTACCCCCTGTGTTTCCCCGCCCTTCCTCCCCTCCCCCCTCCCTGCTCATGTGGTCCCCCAAACTCCCCCTTCCCCTCCCCTCCCCCTTCCGCAGGTGGCCATCGTGGGTGATGTCCACGGCTCCTGGCGGGGCGACCGCGAGGCTGCTGCTCTGCGGCTGCTGGCGCCCCACCTGACACTGCTGGTCGGGGACTTCGGCAACGAGGATGTGGAGCTGGTGGGGCGCGTGGCGGCGCTGCCGCTGCGCAAAGCGGTCATACTCGGGAACCACGACGCCTGGGTGGGTGGGTGGGAGGGGAGGGGAGGGGAGGGGAGAGGGAGAGGGAGAGGGAGAGGGGTTGGAGGTACGGCAAAACTGCATGACATCACATCCGGGCACGGGTGGGGGTGTGAGAAATCCGATTATTGAATATGTTCGAGATGAGGAAGGCAAGGGATAGGGGGAGCTAAGACTTACGAAAGGCCTCTTAACGTGCAGTGGATTGGCATTAGGTGTGCGTTGGGGCTCAGGTCCCTGCCTCCCCGGGGGCCCGGTGAGGGGGCCAATACGGCTGTTTCGAGGAGTTGTCTTTGGAGGAGTCCCCTTTCCCTTTCTCAGTGGGTTGCCATATTTCCTACCCCGTTGAAATTAAAACTTACCTACCCTACCTACCCTACCTGTGCTAATACGCCTGATTTACGCCGTTTTAGTTTACGATGACGGGACGAGCAGCCAGCCAGGCGCGGCGAGGTGCCGTACAGCAGACACTGAGTGCCGCGGACATGCTGGCGGCGAGGGCACGTGGCGGCGGCGCCGCAGCGGCGGCAACAGCAGCGACGCCAGGGGGCCAGCAGAACTGCGTACGGCAGCAGCTGGCGCTACTGGGTGACAACCACGTAGGGTACGGCACCATGCCGCTGGACGAGCAGGGCTACACGGTGGTGGGTGCGAGGCCCTTCTCTAAGGTGGGTGGGCTCGGGGGGCTAACGCTGCGGTGGTGGGAGTGGGGGGTGCTCCAGGGAAGCCAGTGACCCATGGGACAGCTAGAGCAGCACGACAACGGAGAACAGAACACTCGGGAGTATTATCCCCCCCCCCCCGGGGGGAGGGGTAGCCATTCGGGGTTTTGGGTTTCGTGTTGTTGCACAAACTTCATGCGACTGGAGGTTTGTGGAGATTGGGACCAACCGAATCCAAAACGTTTTGCCGTCCGGGCCGCTGGCTTGCTGGATTACAAAACTCGGTGGTTACCCGTCCAGGGGGGAAAGCTGTACGACCTACCTTTGGGGGGGAAGCGAGTTGGGGTTGAGGGGAAAGGGGAGGGGTTGGGGGGGGAAGAGGCGTCGGTGGTCGGGAGAGAAGGGCGTCGCGAAGGGGAGCATGGGGATGGGGCTGCTCAGAGCGAAGTCAGTCAGGTGACATGCAGACAGACAGAGTGACTGACGTACTTAACAACTAACCGTATGTGGGGTTTTCTCGGTGTGTGTGGCGGTGGGGGTGGGTTATTGGAGGGGCGCAGGGCGGCAAGAACTTCTCGAGCATTCGGGACTTCATGGACGACCTGTACGGCGTAAAGAGCATGGAAGAGAGTGCAGAACGTATCGTACAGGTACGGCACCGTATGGCTAGTGGGAAAGGAATAGGTGGTGGCGGCTGGGAGCGTAGAGGGCGCAGCGCGCTTGCACACGCATGCAAATATGATGTGTGGAACAGGGGGCCATATCTTCACCCGTGGCCGCTACCTGGCGAAACCCTGCCTTCCCCGGTATCTCGGGGCACCCTCATCCAGTCACCCTAGCCAGCTTCTCAGAGGATCGCTCAGGTTCCCCACCCACTACCAGCATCCAACGGAATCTGCCGGATCGACAACGGCCCAACTCCATTCCTGGTCGGCTCGCAGGTTGGCTTCATCCCAGGTCACCACCGTCCATCAACTAGGGGCACTTTACCTTCCACCATAAGGAAGGATTTTCGACTCTGACGGGTCTCGATCCCGGAATCTCCCGCGGGCAATGGTCCGTGCCTTACCAGTAGTGCCTAACCTATATATAATAAATATGTATGTATGTATGTATGAATGAATGACGCGCGATGACAATCGACATCGACCAATTGGCGAGGGGGCGGCCCAACCAGGTTTCTCCTCCGTACAGTTGGTCTGCCTGCATGTCTGTCTGTCTGTGTCTATGACGGAGAAGCGAGATAGCGAATCAATGGAGGCGGCCGACAATTAAAAGCGCGGCCGTTGGGACGGGGGGGCTGCCAGAATATAAAACACAACCCTGCCAAGCTCGACCCGAGCCCCCCACTCCGCCTATCTCTGGTATCAGCATCATCGTCTGTGGTTCGTCTTCCCCCGCCCCGCCCACGTCCGCAGGTAGCCCAGTCGGCTCCAGCCCATCACACCCTCATTGTGGTGGGCCACAACGGACCCGCGGGTCTGGGCAGCCGCCACTTCGACATTTGCGGAGTGGACTGGGAGAGCGGCGCGGGTGACCACGGGGACCCGGACCTGCAGGTGGGGCCGGGGGGGGGAGGGGGAGGGGGAGGGGGAGGGGGAGGGGGAGGGGGTGAAGAACCCTGCGGCGGCTTGCAGGCTGGTTGAGCGGCCAGGATGGAGAGGGGGGGGAGGGGGAGATAGAGTTCTATGGGTGTGAGTGTCGACATGCCGTGGGCGAGTCGTATGTTCCGAGTGGGAACGTACCTTTGTTACTGTGTATGTGCGAATGCGTGTGTTTGAGTATGTGAGTGAGTGGTGAGGGGAAATCCAGTGGGGGCACATCCGGCCCGCACCTGACGGAGGTCACTAAGTCCCGCAGCCCGCAGTTCCCCTCCTGTCCTACCAATCCAATACCCGAGTGAACCTGACGATAACTCCAACTACCAACTTAAAACTACCAATTCCCAACTGCCCCCAGGCTGCCCTTGCCACCCTCCACCGAGCCGGTCGCCGGGTGGCTCTGGTCACATTCGGCCACATGCACCACACACTGCATGCCGCCAATAGCAAGGGCCGCGCCTCCCGGCTGCGGCGCATGGTGGCACTGGATCCAGCGACCGGTACCGTCTTCCTCAATGCGGCGACTGTCCCACGGGTCACTCCGGCGCCCACAACCCCAGTTACCGTTGCTGCTGCGGGCAGATCCGCACCGCCAGCAGTGCCACCTCCTTCACGTTGCGCCCCACCGCCCACCTCACCCAAGAGATACGGGTCCGGCAGGAGGGCGAGGAGAGCGGCCAAGGCAGCGGTGGCGGCGGCCGCGGTCGCGGCGGCGGCGGCGGCAGCTCCGTCCGCGCACAGCGACGGTTTTGAGCCGGCTACGCTGCATCACTTCATGGTGGCGGAGCTGGAGGGCGGGGAGGTGGTTGCGGCGCGGGATGTGTGGGTGCAGGTGACGCCGGTGACGGAAGATACGGCCGCGGCGGTCCTGGAGGCTGCTTCTGCAGCTGTGGAAGAGAGGACTGGCGGTGAAGTGGAGAGTGGGGATGAAGCGGGGGCGGAGCGGACGAGTGACGGCAGCGCCGCCGCAGTGGAAGCGGGGCCCCGCCAGATCGACGACTTCGTAGTTCAAGTAGTTCGTGATCGTGTAGTCTTGTGTACGGTGGCGGGCGCAAATGGCGGCATTGTGAAGTTTGTTTGGAATGCCCAGGACGAAATGTACGAGCCGCACGTGTTTAATAGGGAGGAGGCGGCGCCGCGCAGGGCGGACGATTGCGGTGGTGGTGAGGAGGTGCTGGTGGCAGCTGCACCGGGTGACGGCCCAGAGCTGAGCGCAGCGGCGCCGGTGGCGGCGGGCGAGCCGATGGCGGCTGCAGTGACTTCAGGCTTGGCTCGGTGACGGAGTCTTGACTCTGTGCGGGGGTAGCGTGAGCACCAGGAGCGTTTTAACCCATTTTGCACGCGCGCGTGTGTGTGTGTGTGTGTGTGTGTGTGTGTGTGTGTGTGTGTGTGTCTCCGGAGCCCGCGTCACGTCACTTTATGACAAGTGGCGGTCATTCTGCTGTGCCTGGGTACGCCGTGTAATGGCGCCTGAGGGTCCACCACCCCTGTCTGGCACTGATAGGCGGTTTCTGGTCCAGGAGCAGCACTGCTGGTCCACCACCCCGCGCACATGACAACCGCTGACAAGCGGCCTTCCTCTCGATTAGCCGGGACTGGAGCTCAGGCAGGTACGTGCAATGAAGGGCTGTGGCTATGATGGATCTCGGTAGTTCAACTGAGCCGGGATAGCGCCAGAACCAATCGTACTTGGCAGGTCCGCTATTTGCGTTGGGCCAGGAAACCGGCAGACACGCCGTGTGCTTGCTGACCAAGATGACTCACAGGCAACCTCTGGCAACCACACCACATCACAGTGTACCGTACGAACCTCCGAAAGTAACCCCCCCGGGTGGGATCCCCGGGAAGGTCTGCCGTGACCTGCACATCATACAGGTCATATACTTCTTCGGAACGTACGACAAGAGGTTACAGTCACTAAGTCCAAGTCACTTAACACAAATCTCAAGAGCTGGTTGTTGCTCCCCCATACCAGGAGGCAACATTAGTATATTGCGCAACAAACACACCCCTCGTGAAGGGAAGGAGAGTGGCACCTTACAGAAGCCGGGGTGCACCCAGGGGAGAGCAACCTGGCCATCCACCGGGTCGCCACCAGCCAGAACGATTTAGAGATCTATCCATTGAGATGCCGGTGAGATCGGCGAACCCGAAAGGCTGGACAGCTGCATGTGTGCCTGTTACATACTGATCTAACCGTATACCCCAACGGGAGCAACCAACGAAGCATTCCATCATTGGAGGGGCGTTATATCGGTCAGAGTTCTAACCGTTTTCCCTTATCATCGCAAGGCGCCGTTATCTGTTCGAATCCTTTAGCAGCCAAACAGCTTAAATGCCAAGTAACCTAAGTTCCACCGAGCGCATGCTCTACAGCTGCGAGATCAACCAATGCACTCACACCGGTGCCAATCGCCACCACGCTATCATTGCAAATCCTGCCGCCGCCCGGTTTCGTTATCCAACCACCATCTGGTATACAGCCTGGTCCAGCCCCTACGCACGAGTTTTACTCCGCCACTGCTCTGCGACAGTGTAAAGATCTTCTTGGTGAGCTCCTACTCCGGCCGCCCAGCGGTGCACTGGAGGAACCCAGTGTTTCCTGCATTCGGCACCCGACCAATTTCACCCGGGGGGAACAGCGTTGGATTGCGATCCTACATCGTCCCATCCTGATATCGTCTCTAGATTTTGAAATGCAATTTGCCGATTACCTAGCCCGGTGCCCTTCAAATTTGAGCTACGCCGGTGTGGGGTTTATGTGTGTGTGTGTGTCAAGGGGTTTCCACACGCGTTGTTTCCCTATGGCATAAAAGGGGGTGTATTGCTCATGCACTTTTATGGCAGGAGATAACCGATGCGCTGACCAACCCGGAATGGGAGGGTTAGGGAGCCTCGATGCTATAACTGTTTTATTTCCTGGAGTGCAATATTTGGGGCGGAATACCGCAAGAAGTCGTGGGGGTAAAGGAGCGTGTTGACTAGTTGTTGAGCAGACCTCTTCCCGAACGAGCGGTGACAACGGCACTAAGGGAGCGTTTGATGAGTGGCTGGGACCATGCGCGTCTGACTGTCTTGCCAGAGGAGTACCCATCGGATGGGATACAACCGGGAGTACAGATGGTGAAGTATAAACACTGGATGAGGCTGCCCTTTTCGGGAGCTGCAGCTGTCATGTGGCTACGATTTTCACTCTTGTTCAATTTATCGTCAGCTAACGCAGTTTTGTTTAAATAGTCTGGCTAGGGGGCCACACCCTCACTCGTCGTACACACAAGTCCTAGCTCCGCTAGCTCCGAAGTTACGACATGGTCTCACACGCGTTTCAAACGCTCGTTAACTGACTTCATAACATTACAACCCGAGTCAAGGCAAAACCTTCCCCGCACAGGATACCGGCCTAAATGTGGCGCACGACACCTGCGACTGCCGGTCTAAGGAACCGGGATACAACCAAACTCATCAAGTATACCCGAGTAAACCAAAAAGATATTACCAAACACGCTGAACGCAACGCATGCAACGCGGACAGATCTCACGATGCGCCCGAACCGAAAAGGGTACGCAAACAAGAATCCAGAACACAGAACACAGAAACCCAAACTCTGTTGATTACACAATAACCCAAGTACTGAAGCTCGAAGGTACAGAGTACACGAAACACACGTCATCCGAAATGAAACAGGAGTCAAGACACTACGCACTCACAAAACGAACTCAGATAACCCAAACTCGAAATACACGTGGCATGCCACACATCCTACACGCAGCGCTAGGTTAACAGGAAATGCACGATCCGCGGGGCGTGCTCCGGAAACTTCGCTCAGAACCAGGCCTAGCGGTCTGACAGCTTAAAAGAGGTCCACGATGGGTTCGCCAGGGCAGCACGAAGCGCTGGTAGGCTGCGGACGGCATCATACGGTTCCCAGGACGTGTCACGACCACTGGTCGCAGACCACTGCACTAGGAACATGACGGACGGGCGACCACGCTTGTTGTAACCTAGGCGAACGGCAGTAACGGTAATGCCGGTGCTGTCATATGGGGACTCCAGCGTGATGGGGACGGCGGGTGGGGCCAGTGGGCGGTTGGGGAAGAGCGCGGGATCGTTGTCCGCCCAAGGAAGCAGGCGTGAGACGTGGAAGACGGGATGGATACGACCGACGGTAGGAGGGAGTTGAATGCGATAGGCAACCGGGGAAATGACGGCGCTAATGGTGAAGAGACCGATATAGCGAGGGTGGAGTTTGGCGGATGGGTAGCCGGGTAAGGTGAGGTTAGCGATGGTCTCCAACTTGGAAGGTGAGGTTTCGGCGGTGTTGGTTTGCGGCGGCAGTGTAAACGGACTTTGGCGGCTTCCAGTTCTGTGGGGATGGTGGTATGGATCTCGCGAATGTGGGTATGGAGATCAGCGGCAACAGTGTGAGCGGGTGTGGATAGAGGGGTGTTAACAGTGTTGCCAACTTGCCATAGTAGTGCTCAGTTTCGTTACACGAAGGCTGACACTGTAGTCCCAAGTGTCAACTGATCCGAAGGTACCCAACTGCCTATGTTCAGGTCGCTCACATATGTACGAACGTTACCACCCTAACCGCCACAAACTCAAGCAGCGCACTTCCCTTGCCATCAGTTCTGCACTGTCCGAAAACGGTTCCGGTATTGCTCCCCGAGCAATCCTGCGGTCTATGCACAACAAAAGCTGGCCTAGGCAACCAGCGAAGTTGCTGCCAAGTCACTCGTCGCTCTCTCTGGGGTCACATCAAATGGCGGTGTAAAACCAAGAAACGCTCGCGCTCATGCCCAATATCGTCATGTCACTAAAAAAAATGCAGTCAAATGCTTTGCACGCCCAGCCACTCCACGACGACCGGCCGAAAGGGCACGAAGGACCTGTGCCTAGACGGCCTTGCGCCTTATCTCTACAGTTGCAATCTGCATCCGTCAAGTAATTCAGAGTTCGTCCTTCGCCTCAGCATCAGTTGCGGCCTCTGTGGCCGCTGGTTCCTCGGCTGCATCGTCATCCTCCAGCTGCACGTCCAGAGACTCCACTCCTAGGTTGCCCTTGAGGACACTGTACACGCGCTGCGAGAACGACTTCGCGTCATCTGGAATAAACCCGGACTCCAGCAGCGCTGTCTCGTACAGAATGCGCGCAGTGGCAACGGTGGTCTCGTCCACTGTGTCCTCCGAGGCAGCGGCAAGCTTGTCCTTGAGTGCCACAATCAATGGGTGCCTGGAGGGGCATACAAACAGTTTTTGAAGGGGATACAACTTCGTTCAACTGTTGTTCAACAAGTATGAAAACGAGTCGGAATTGAGTGATCAGCATACGGCTTAGTTACGGTAGTACCGGTAGCACGGACCACCTCTTGTCCCCAGGTGTCGTGGTGGGCCAGCGCGTCAGGTACGTGTTCAGGAATTTCCCAACCTACGCCTAGGAGTGGCGCTGACGCATGTTTGTACTAAACACTTCGTACTGCTGTATGCGTATACATGCAACGTACCGTGGATTGATCTCCAGAACGCGCTGGCCAGGCGTGAACGAGCCGGCTGAGCGTGAGAAGGCCTGTGCGCGCATAATGCGCTCCATGTTGGCGGATTGGCCGTACTTGCCGGAAACCACCACGCACGGGGTCGTTGCCAGGCGGTTGGAGACCTGCGGTTGTAGTAAAACGACGGTTTTAGTAACGCGACGGAACATGTCATGCCTTGAACTAATTGCTGGTGCCGATGAATCCAGGTACATTCATTCCCTACCTTGACGGTCTGCAGGCGGGAGTCCTCAATAACCTTCTTCCACCACTTTGTCAGGTCCTTGAACTCCTCCTTCAACTCCTGTGCGGATGAGCAGGAAAACGATTAACATGTAGAGCGTCCGGTAATGCATGAACCAGCGCTTCAAGGTGCTCCTACACATTCTGCGCAACCTGCCATCCGAATCCCACGGCATGGCTACCTGAACCATGTGCAGCTTGCGCCTTACAGTGCTCAAGCACACCTACGCTTGGAGACCCTAAGCATGCTGCCCTTGGTTTGAGGCAGCACCGTCAAGTGGACCTACCACCATTGAATTGGTCCGCTCCCTAATATTTACGGGCAAGAGACGACATTTTGAGCGCTCACGCCCGTCCCAAACCCTAAAAACACACCTTGTCCTTCTTCTTCTCCACCTCGTCTTTGTCCGACAGCTTCAGGTCGTCCTTCGACGCGTTGACGAACTTCTTATCGTCGTAGTCCAGCAGGTGACCCATCACGTACTCGTCCAGCACGTCCGTGAAGTAAATCACTTCGTAGCCCTTGCGGAGCAGCCGCTCAAGGTGCGGGCTGCTGGCCACCTCCTCTTTGCTGGCGCCTGCATGCAAACGTCATCATGTCGTTCTTAAGCAAGGCAATCAGCAGCGCGACAATAACACGTTAATCGTCTCAGGCACATGACGTCACACATGTGATGCCAGCGATTGGAAAGCAAACATACCAAACGATACCCCTACCAAGAGCCGCTAATAAGCTGAAACAAAATGTGGACATAAACGAGACGGACGGCTCACCTGCCAGGTAATAGATGCTCTTCTGGCCCTCCTTCATGCGGCTGACGTACTCGTCCAGGGTGGTCAGCTTGTCACCGCTCTTGGAGGTGTACACGCGCAGCAGCTTAGCCAGACGGTTGCGATGGGTCGTGTCCTCGATAATACCCAGCTTGATGGAGCGGCCAAACTGCTCCCAGAACTTGCCGTACTGGCCACAATCCTTCTCTGACGGCTTGCCCTCGGTTTCACCCTTCTCTGCAGTCCAAACGAATTGCAGCCCCATGAGTAGAAGGTAAACACCCTTTCATTCCTAAAATGGCGGATTCTTAGCCATATCCTACCACCACACAGCATATCATGCCGCCCCTCGTGCCCTGACGATGCATACCAGCTTCATCGACATTGGTCACAGGTGCTCAAAAAATCTGAAGTGACCGTAAGTGAGAAGCAATAGAGACTCACCGTCCATGTCCTTGCACTTGACTTCGGTCTCGGCCATCTTCTTGATGAGGTCAAGGACCTTGCGGACCACCTACAGATGTCGGATACATAGTCATTTGCGAAGGGCCTTGACTCAATACAGCTTGTATACATTATAAACCTTGTCTATTTTTAGCTAATCATACCGTAGTGCCAGTGTCAAGAGTTGATAACATACCTAAATATACACTTGCAAACTTCGCAAGTTCCTTGCAAGCTAACCGACAAGAGGTGTTCACGAATTGCAGGTGGCGGCCCCTAGGGTGTACCACCCATCTGCCAGGCCCTACCTTCTTCTTAATGGTCTTAAGTGCCGCCTCTTGCTGCAGCATCTCGCGGGACACGTTCAGTGGCAGCGTGTCGCTGTCCACAATACCTTTCACGAAGGAGAGGTACCTGCAAGTGGAGATTGAAGGCGCAAAGCGTCACACGTTGACTAATTCTTGGGTGGGGGCACAGGTGGATGACGCACGCGGGACAACGTACCCTACTGATCACTGAAACCTGCTCACAATTCGACACAAACACCGGAACAGTAATTGCATCGCGATACGTGCTAGCGCACCTGGGGATAAGCTCCTTCATGTCATCGCTGATAAACACACGGCGCACGTACAGCTTGAGGCCGTTCTGGGCCTTCTCGTAGTACTTGTCATAGAAATCATACGGAGAGAACGACGGGATGTATAGAATCGAGCGGAACTCCACGTCGCCCTCGGCACGGAAATGCGTATACGCCAGAGCATCAGAGTAGTCCTGAAGCGCGTCCAAGGAAAACGGAGGGCCAGGTCAATGGAATGGTTGAGGGCCATAGCGCAGTCCGCATGCAGATCAAGCACATACCCTTTCCCCTACCTTGGAGACGGCCTTGTAGAACTTCTGGTACTCCTCCTCAGTGACCTCCGATGGCTTGCGCAGCCAAATGGCCTTATTGTCATTCAGAAGCTCCCATTCCATGCGCTTCTCCCTAAAAGAAAGAACGCGATTGAAAGGGGTGAGGAAAACCATGTCCAAACCCGTGCTTGCCGTACTTCTGGGTCTCGCATTGTGCCGTGAAATGCAACCTGTCTTCAGTACGATTGCAGAACCAATCACATAATGCGTCTCTCTTCCGCCTTACGTGGTATTACAGGGCTTGTGCCCTTTCACTCTGTAGGATCACCCACCCATGAAATCTTTCGTAACCGGAAAGGTGGCATTGTTTGCTGTACTGTTTAGCACAATGAAGTCCATGTTGGAATTGTGCACGGGTGCACTTGCACCAGTCTATCCGTCCTCGCGCCCCGCAAGAAGAAATTCCTCTTTTGGACTTCACCGCTAAAGAGAGCCACGTTCGGCTCATGCTGCCGGGCATGGAAGCCCAGAATAGCACCCCACAGCGAGTTGGCACTGTGATTCACTAACTAAAGTAAAAACACACCAACCCATTTCCCTCCGCTTACTTGCGAGTTGCCTTTAGCTTCTCAGCCTCCTCCTTCGTCTCCTCCTCGTCATCCTCGGCGCCCTCCTCTGCAGGCCACAGCATGCAGGCAAATTTAAAGCACATGACAACGCTATTTATCATGCAGTGCGTCGGCTGTTATGTAGGCGCATCACTGTTGAATCCGACCATTTATACCAGTGACGGCGAACGGCGCAAGTAGCAGTTATTACTGGCCGGCGCCGGCACGGCCAATTTCAAGAATACGTTCGGTAAAGATATGACAGTTAGTGCTCGCCCGTGTCTCGCATGCCAGGGAGATGTCACCTACCCTCCTCCTCTTCCTCCTCGGCTTCTGCCTCCGCCTTGTCCTCCTCCTTGGCTTCCTCCGCCTCCTCCTCAACAGGCACCTCGACCTCCTTCTCAGCTTGTAGGTAGATCGGGAAGTTGATGAACTCGCTGTACCGCTGCACCAGCTCCTTGAGCTTGGCCTCGTTGGCGTACTCCTGAAGAAACCCAGGAACCGGACCCAAGTCCCCGTCAATAATGGCGATGCGTCTATTACTTACAACCGATGGGATCCATAAGGGAATCGTACTCGGGTGCCACCTCATGCGCCGGAACCTTATTATGTGAAAGATGTAATATCATAGCTGTACTCACCTGCGCCTCCTCCTTCAGGTGGATCTTGATGAGCGTGCCGCGACCCAGGGGCTCGTTCTCCGTGTCCTCGCTAATCGAGAAGCTACCGTCGGCTGTGCTGGCCCAGATGTACCTGACAGATCATGTGCATGGGCGCGGGACAGCAGTGGGTTTGATGCGAAACAGCTGCTAAATTTGATTCATTCTAGTTTGGCTTCCATATCTTAACCACGGCAAACACAAGGGTCACAGAATGGGCCACACCGTACGTTCAAGGAGGCTGACTGACCGGTGGAATCAAAAGCACATGTGGAAATGAACACTTCCTGCCTGATGAACACTTACTGCTTGTCGTCATTGTGTTTGGAAACCACTTCGACGTAGTCGGCCACCAGGTACACGGAATAGAAGCCCACACCGAACTGGCCGATTAAGTTCATGTCGCCTCCCTTCTGCATCTGCTCCAGGAAAGCTGCACAGACATGGACGGAAAGGAAGAGGGACGCCTTCGTCGGGGGCCGAGAGAAGAAGCTGGTGAGGACCAACCGCGGAGCCTAGCTGCTGTTTTATATTTAGGCAACCGACGGGGATGTTGGTGACAAAGGAAACACATCGCGATTATTAACATAGCAAGACTTGGAGGGCCGGTGGAGGGAGGTACAGATAATGATGTGCATGCTGCCGCGCATAGGCCCCAGGGAGAACGGCACATTTCCAGCACCCATACCCGTTACCCACCTGAAGTGCCTGACTTGGCAATGGTACCCAGGTTCTTGACCAGGTCGTCCTTGGTCATACCAATACCCCGGTCGCGAATGTTCAACGTCCTGGAGGCGGCGTCCAGCCAGATTTTGATATCCAAATTGGCCGCCTCCCCCTCTCCCAACTGCGCCTTGTCCGTCAAAGACAAGAAACGAATCTTGTCCAGGGCGTCCGACGCGTTGGAGATGAGCTCACGAAGGAAGATATCCTTATTGGAGTACAGGGAGTTGATAATAATGTCCATCAGACGTGACACCTCCGCCTGGAATGCAAACTGCTCCGCGCCCGAGCGCAGGCGGTTAGCAGTGTTCGACATGCTCTCCTTCTCCCTGCGACATAACACAAATTACGGTTTTCAGAACAACCATGGCGCAGCAGCATCAATCACCTTGCCAATGTTCCACACCACATGCCAAGTAACCGACGAGACAGCGCACCTATGGATGGAGGTCGCATCTGTGGTCGTGGCGTGACCCGACGAGACTCCATTGTCAACCTTCGGTGCCGCAGTTGCATCAATGCTGGTGTCGGCAAAGCATGCTGCAAGTAGATCACCATAGTGTGAATCAAAACGAGCTTCCGAGGCACACAACGTTTCAGCGCTGCGCTTTGCTGCTCCTCACATACCTGGAAAAGCGCTTAGCGCCAGGGCGGCCACCAGCACAAGCGTGGTGGCCCTACGATTCATCCTAAGAAGTAGACTAACTTCGGCCAACCGACGGGCAGTGATCTAGTACCTCAATAGTGATACCACAATCGCCTTCTCCGCGGTACTACTGATAGACGGTAATATATAGCCTTCTAGAAGGAACGAGGAACAGCAAGCCCAATTTGTCTTCAACGTGTCCCGTCGAAGACACCGGGTCATCGTACGGAAACCTTCTTACATGGAATTACATGTAAAGGACATGGTGTCTCCATTCCCGCGCCACTGGGTGCCCGTCGTTTCATAAGCACCGCATGTTCATGTAAAGTCTATTTCAAGAAGTGCTATTGTTATTGCAGACGTTAGACGTAGAAAGGTGATACAGATAGTGCCTTCACCATGGCGCAGTGGAAGGCAGCAGTCTTACTGCTTGGTGAGTCGCTCTGAGCCCCGTTCGCTGTTCCAGATCAGAAGTCACTGAGCCAAATTTGCCTCGTATAATCTTTTGTGCAGCGCTGGCATGTGTGTCTTACCGTGTTTGGGCTTCTGAAGAGAAGCTCGGGACTGTTATCGGCATCGACTTGGGCACCACCTACTCTTGCGTCGGCGTCTACAAGAATGGTCGTGTGGAGATCATTGCTAATGACCAGGGTAACCGAATTACGCCTTCATATGTCGCCTTTACGGATAGTGAGCGCTTGATCGGCGACGCTGCAAAGAACCAGGCAACAGTGAACCCCAAGCGCACCATCTACGATGTAAAGCGCCTAATTGGTCGTAGGTAAGTCGTTGACTTCCTTGTTGCTAGGCCAAGCGTCTGAACCTGTGGTAACAGTTGGATTTCTCACACTTCTTCAACGATACCTGCGCAGGTTTGAGGACAAGGAGGTGCAGCGGGACAAGAAGCTCGTCTCGTATGACATCGTTGATAAGAGTGGCAAGCCTTACGTGTCCGTGGATGTCAACGGCGAGACGCGTGTGTTTAGTCCAGAGGAGATCTCCGCTATGATTCTCCAGAAGATGAAGGAGACTGCCGAAGCATACCTTGGCAAGACTGTTAAGCACGCCGTCGTCACTGTTCCAGCGTACTTCAACGATGCTCAGCGCCAGGCTACTAAGGATGCTGGGACAATTTCTGGCCTGAATGTGGTTCGCATCATCAATGAGCCGACGGCTGCCGCAATTGCCTATGGCCTTGACAAGAAGGGTGGCGAGAAGAATATTCTGGTGTTTGATCTGGGCGGCGGTACTTTCGATGTGTCAATTCTCACCATCGACAACGGTGTTTTCGAGGTCATTTCCACCAACGGCGACACCCACCTTGGAGGCGAGGATTTCGACCAGCGTGTCATGGAGTACTTCATCAAGCTCATTAAGAAGAAGTACAAGAAGGACATCAGCGGCGACGCTCGGGCCCTCCAGAAGCTGCGCCGCGAGGCAGAGCGTGCCAAGCGTGCCCTTTCTAGCCAGCATCAGGTAGGGGTGCGTCGGGTGTACGGACTTCCCGATCTTATCTGGGGTACCGCATGCTGTGCCATGTGCTGGCCAGACGATGTGTGCAAGCTTGCAATGGGATTTGGGGGGGTCAGGACTGACGGAGTGAATAGATACCTATTTTCTTGTGTCTGTCCTTTGTCGTTCGCAGGTTCGTGTGGAGATCGAGGCCCTATACGAGGGTGTCGATCTATCTGAGCCGCTGACTCGTGCCCGCTTCGAGGAGCTCAACATGGACCTCTTCAAGAAGACCATGGGCCCGGTTAAGAAGGTATGGAATGGGGATTGCGTAGATAGATGAATATGAAATAATCACCTGGGACGTGGAGTCATCTCAATTGTAAGAGTTTTGTCGGAACCAGGAATTGTGATGGGGGGCTGTAGCCGGGGTGGATGCTGATGGGGTTACTCTATTTCAGTAAGTTTCCTAACTGTGTCATTTCATGGAAAATCCTGTTGCAGGCTATGGATGATGCTAACCTGAAGAAGTCCGACATCGATGAGATTGTCTTGGTGGGTGGTTCAACCCGTATCCCGAAGGTCCAGGAGCTTCTTAAGGAGTTCTTCGAGGGCAAGGAGCCTAACAAGGGTGTTAACCCTGATGAGGCCGTTGCATACGGTGCTGCCGTCCAGGGTGGCATTCTGGGAGGCGAAGGTAGGTAGGGTTTTAAGGTTCGCTAGGCGTTGTCTCATAATTGGAGAGGGATGCTCGAAGGTGTTTGTGGTATGCGCTGTCGAAGGCTTTTGTATGCGCTGTCGAAGGCTTTTGTATGGGCAACAGGGTTGGCTGATTTTCTGATAGCGTCGCGATTTCTTCGTATGTCACAGATGACGCCTCAGCTTTACTGATTTGACCAAAGCGTCATGCACGTGGTTTATAATATTAAGTTAAGTCCCTTTTGGGAAAGAAGAAAGCCTTATGCACGTGGATAAAAAGAGGGTGACCTTATGCACGTGGATAAAAAGAGGGTGACCAAACAGTGAGACCTAACATGTATGGCCTTTTTCACGGTTCACGTTGCCGCTGCGGCAACAGAACAAGGGGCAATCCCGCTGAAAAAATGATGGTCTCAATCAAGCAAGGGGAGAGGTAAATCGGGGGCTGAATCTTGATTTAATCCATGATTTACTTCGCAGGTGGTGATGAGGTTAAGGACATTCTTCTGCTGGATGTGGCCCCGCTCTCTCTTGGTATTGAGACTGTTGGCGGCGTGATGACTAAGCTGATTCCCCGCAACACTGTCATCCCTACGAAGAAGTCTCAGACGTTTACTACGTACCAGGACCAGCAGACGACCGTCTCCATTCAGGTAGATGAGGCTCCTTTCTGATATCTTGGCTGGCTTATATATACCCACGTGTTTAGTATGGTATATGTATGTAAGGGCATGTTCCTTCCTCCTCGTGCCCATAATTATGATCGCGTTGGGAATTTGCTTTATGGGGTTTTGTGGATCTTCCATGCTGTAACATGTACGCATCCTGTCTTGTCTGCTTTTCACTGCAGGTGTTCGAGGGTGAGCGTGCCATGACCAAGGACAACCACAAGCTGGGCCAGTTCGACCTAAACGGCATTCCGCCAGCACCCCGCGGCACCCCCCAGATTGAGGTCACGTTCGAGGTGGATGCCAACGGTATCCTCAATGTCGCTGCGGAGGACAAGGGCACCGGCAAGAAGGAGAAAATTACCATCACTGCGGAGAAGGGTCGCCTAAGCCAGGATGACATCGAGCGCATGGTGAGGGAGGCTGAAGAGTTTGCCGAGCAAGACAAGGCTGTCAAAGCAAAGATAGATGCTCGGAACCAGTTGGAGACCTACTGTTACAACATGAAGAGTACTGTGGAGGATAAGCTGAAGGACAAGATTGATGAGGACGATAAGGAGAAGGTCCTGTCGGCGGTGAAGGAGGCCTTGGAGTGGCTTGACGAGAACTCTGACGCTGGTGAGTCCAATCTGGCTGTGATGGGGATGTCGTAGCATGTACTTTGGCTTGCATGTCACGGCAACTTGGCCATCAATCAAAGTCTTTCGGTCGGTATGCTTTGACCTAACTTCGGATGCAATGGTGCTCGCAGATCCCGAGGATTACAAGGAGAAGTTGAAGGAGGTCGAGGATGTGTGCAACCCCATCATCGCTCAGATTTACAAATCGGGCGGTGGGCCAAGTGGAGACGACTCAGACGACTTGGGTGACCATGATGAGCTCTAAGCATATGAATTTTGTCCTCAGAACTGTTGAGGAAAGACCGATGACATGTTTTCTCGTGTGACATCTCGATGTAGTGACTTTAGGTAGGCTTTCGGACAGCTGAACGGCATTTACTAGCAGGGTATCGATCCGGCTATGGCCTACAGCGGACTAGGTCAGTTAGAGCGACCGTGAGAGGGGGGGGCGAAAAGTCTGGAACATTTTAACGAATGAGAGAAATGCTGGAGGAATGGCTGCGTGCGTCTACCTGGACACAACCACCTTGCTGGCAGGCTGTCGTGGTATCAGGTATTTACCGCACGTTGCAGTTTTGCCGTAGGGCATTGTAAAAGCAATGTCGTGCAAGTTGTTGAGTTTCGACTGGAATCAGGTCCTGCTGCCGCAATGTACGGTTCCAATAAAACGCGTGCGTCCGTTCAGCGCGTTTCATTAAACCGGAAACGTTTCACTCTCATAGAAAACACCATGCAAAATAGGTCCTCATTTTGCCCACAGGTGTTTGACATAGACTGGTCTGTGATGGGTAACAGCCGAACTAAACCGAACTGAACTTATGAAATAACATCGCTGATTGTTTTGCTATGTAAGCATGCTCGCCCAAATGACGTTCAAAATCGGCAGCTTGAGCAACTAAAACTACGAATGTAGGCGACAGTGAAACACGTTTTAGCTGAAGTTCTGAAACATGTCCTGTCATTCTCCTGCGACTTCCATACCTCGACACGTGACCGTGCAAGGGTGTATCGGTACTGGAAGAGCTGCTCGAGCAGGTCGACCGGGCAGTATGTAATCGTGGAGGACAGTTTGAAGAACCTCCAAATCAATCAGAAAAGCAATAACATTAACAATGATAGTAACCACGATGTAGGGCAGATGGCCAGAGATAACGGCCAGATGCAGCAGATTGCACAACACATCGTGCAGCATCAGAACCTCACCACACAGCGGCAAACCTCAACACTGGAGATGTGGAGGCGATAAACAAACGGTATACAGATTTGGAGCAGCATCGATGCCGTTAACCGTAAAGTCTTTTTGGTGGCTTAGGTCCGCGACGTTGACGCCAAAATTATGAGGACCTATTACGCGTTAAAATTCATCTGGCCGACAAGCCAGAAATCAACGCGATTCTGGAGCAGCTGCTAAGTGCGATTATATGAAAATTCTTTTTTATGCGACCTGCGATGCGGGTGGTCGCTGCACCTGCAGGTAGCGCAAGATTACTACTACAACAATCGTTGCGCAGCTGCTAACCCCAGCCAAGATGTTAAGTCTGTCAAGTGTCGCGCCTGAACCTGTCTTCGCTGGAGTCGAAGCGTCGATCATGCCCAGACTCAACATCTAGGTGGGGTTGACAGCTGCATGGCGAATTTTGATTGAGTATTGTCACGCTACCTGCAAGTGTGTATTAATGCAGTGACCACCGGCATCGCAGGATGCGTAGAAAAAATTCAGCGCGCAATAATTTTTGGCGCCATCGTCGGCAGCCATAAATTTGAACGGTTTAGGGCATGGGCGTCTCAATGCTGCTCTAAAGCTGTATGTCGTGTGTTGATCACCTCCACATGCCCAGTAAGGTTTGCCGCAGTTTTGTGCTGCACAATCTGTTGGGCGATCTGCTGCATATGGTCGTTATCTCCGGTCATCTGCTTTTGATTGTTACCATTTTATTGTTGTGGGTCTGAATGATTTGTGGCTTCTCCAAACCATCCATGCGATAGGTTAGTACTTATAAAACATAACACGATTATGACAACGAGAACAAAGGACTACCTAAGGTTACAACACGATGATGAACCATGACTGAAACAAATAGAACAGAGCAGTACGACAACACTTACGACAAAGTCAATACTTACATTTGCATCATCCAAGAACCAGCCTCCTCACAAATGAGAATCCAGTGTTTCTAAGTCTTAAATCTGGCGTTAGGTGAGGGGTCCTTGTTACTTGGCTGGATGGCACCGGCTCGCCTTGGAGAGCTGCAGGAGCCATTACGTGTCGAACGAAAAATCTTTGATGTGCACGGGTACCACCATCTCCATCACAAACTGATGACCTAGATTCGCATCTAGCAAACCATCCATTAGCAATACGTATAATGGATTGCTGGCGTGGCGTCTAACAAACCCTTTCTTAACATATTTGCTGGCTGTGTGTTCTAAGTGTGAGATGCTATGCAGTGACCTAATATTCGAATCGTAGCCTCCCGGGCTCCCGGCTGTAGACCTTCGGCTATACTTGGGAATGCATACCAATTCCGTTGTACGGCACTGCCGATCAACGTACTCAAGCACACACATCAGTTTGCGGTTCCATGGAAGACAATAAACTGGTGTGGATAAGTGCCCTGATTCAGTCAAGGTAAATGAGACACGAAACGCGGGCCACAAGGAAGAGTTGGGTCATGCCGCGCAGCTTAGTCAGACAGGTTGTGCGTCGGCCACCATTATTACCCTCAATATAAGATGATGCGTGTCCAATTAAGCCGTGTTTAAAGACGCGCAGACTAGGACACCTAGCTGAGTCCTTCTCCTTTAAGGGAAGTCTGTACGACTAGGAGTACGAGGTCAGTGAAGTTCATAGTGAAAGTTGAGAGGCTCCTATCGGTGGACGTTTCGACATCCTAAAATTATACACCTAACAAAATAGTGTCACGTTTTTTCGTATGCTTTAGCATGTTGCCTAGCCCTTGATGCCCTGGTGCAAGTGCATTTGGCTTCCTGCGAGCGCGAGGCTGTATCATTTACGTTGAAGGTGCATGCTTAGGATGTTGTGCTTCTTATGGTCTACAGCTACATCAAGCAACCACACAGCCCAAGTCTCATGGAGCTTCTCCTGTTGAAGTCGTGAGCAGTGTGACATCCCATTTTTCTCAACCCTTGCCTCGAGTTATCTGCCTTTCTACGTTGAACAGGCCCCATTCGTGATGTCGCCTCTGGTGTCGCTGCCGGATACACCATCTCAGCGGTCTGGCTCGTAAATGGGGCCCACTCATGTGCTTGAGCTTTCGCCAGATCGTGGACTCTGGCTCTGGACATTTTGGGGACGGCCAAAGACGACAACCCCCCAGGCGTGTCTGGGAAACCAGACATATCGTGGCTTTAAAGGTACATCTTTACATGCCTTGAAGCTTGGTGTTTTATTGGGCAGGACATGAATATGTTGCACCAATTTTTGCCTTTTATGAGGAAACTTCGTCACGGTTCCTCTATAGGCTTCTCAACCTGCATGCGTGTTCCTATTCCCGTCTATCCTTTCAGAAGCCTCATGTTAGTGTTTTTTTGTTTTTTTGGCTGTTCAAGCGTTTCCGAAGCGCCCATTTGGCAACAATGTTTACACTTGAGCTTTTGTGGCGCAGTCACTCGGTCTCGTTTTCGAGCATGCCGAAGTCGTTACATCCGCATGCGTATTACGGCCATGGCGGCCATCTTCCGCCCACACGCACCCAGGTCAACCCATCAAAGTGCTGCATTCGCTATGTTCTCCCCCGCCCATTTGTCCTCCTCACACACCAAGCAGCGATAGCGTCCTGTGGCGCCCTCGGCATGGCTGGCTCGATGTGGGTCAACCCGCCGCCCAAGCAATCCGCCTGCACTGTGGACGCTGTGGCTTGCCACAAGTACCAGCGGGGCAGTCCTCTGTCGCCCCAAACCCGCCGGCTCCTTTTCTCCGACTTTATCATGATACTGTCCCAGCTCCTCCTTTTCATCCACCACTGCCGCCGCCTCATGGATGCCGGCTGCCTCTCCCGGAGCTCAGCTGCTGCCGATGGTGCCGCGGCCAGCGTCGTCGGCCCTGGTGCAGGCTCCTTCACCCGGGGCCCGCTGGATGCCTACCCCTGTGATGCACCAACGGCTTCGCGCATCATCTTCCTGGTTGCGCGGATGGATGGCACATTCCTGGCTGCATTTCGGCTTCCCCTGTGCGAGCTCTGGGTGCCAATGGTCACAACAGCAATCCTGGCACAGCTGTTTGCACTGCTGTTGATGCCCCGGAGGCTGTACATGACCTGGGTCCGGCGCGTTTGCATGCTGCTTGTGGGGCTGCTGCCAAAGGTCGTCACCCTGGCCGCGTTCCTGGCCTCTCCGGATGAGCGCCCAAACAGCTACTTCAACACCTACCTGCCGATTGAAGGCGCAATCACTATTTGGCAACAAATAGTGTACAATGTGAGGTCGAAAAGGGTAGACATGTTAATGGATGGGGTCGAAGTGAAGAGCGGGCCAAAACTATGCACATTTCGCCGTGGGCATCCATTAAAAGGGTGTTATCGTTGCTTGGGTCACCTAGTTAACCGTTCGTGCAAGGGTCATACCACGGCTCACTGCCTTGGCGTGTCCTTAGTGCAACGTCATGATATAAAAAGCTGATGCCCATTTCCACATGATATGCTTTCCACAACCCTTCCCGGGCCGCAGTACTCGCTATGGCCGGGCATCGCCGTACTTGCGACGCACTGTGTGCTCTCCATCGCCATCTGCTCAATGGTTACTCCAAGGTTGTCGGCCGCCGGGCTGCCGGCCCCCTTCAACCCGACATGGGTGATGGCACACACGTACTTCTGCGCTGCCCTGGCCGTCTGCGCAACACTGCTGCAGCACCCGACAAACGCGCGGGAGGTCCGCGCCGCGCTGCGCCGCACTTGCGACTTGGCGATGGCAGCATCCGCTAGACTGCAATTGTGGCCGTCGCGCTGTGGCCGGTGGCCTTGTCGGTGTGGAGGATGGTACCAGGGGTTGAAACAGAGCAGCAGCGGTACTCATGCTGGGGGCCCTGCGCTGGCGGACTTGCATCTGACTGCGGCGGTACGCCGGCTGTTGAGTACTTCGCTGTCGGGCTGCAGTGGCAGCACCTGCTCCAATAGCTTTACGGCGTCCTCGGCCTCAGTAGGCTCCTCTGCGGCGCCCTCGGAGGCGGGAAGCGCTGCCGGCAGCGGTAGCCACGCCGCCGCCGCGGGCGTGGTGCAGGCCTCTCGCCAGGCCACCCCGTGCGCCGGTCGACCTGAGACTGCTCCTACGCTGCCGCACCAAGTGGTGCTGGAAAAAGGCTGGCAACAGCAGCCGCAACAGCTGAAACAGGGTCTGCCGGATCAGCAGCTGGTGGACGTACGGCCCAGACTCGTCGCCAGGGCCACTCAGCTAGCCCATGGTCGGGACACGGGGATCGTCACGACTGCGACGGTATTGGGGATGATTCATGCGGGAAAGGATGCGGCGGCGTCATCTGGGTTGGCGAAGGGCCCAGCCGTCACTCCGGCCACGCCTTACACCTCGTATACATCGCCCCCTAGTCGCGCCGCTGTAGTTGCTACGCCGCCGTCAGGCACGTTTCCGCCTGCCGGCGCCTTCAGCCTGAAACAGCCCACGGGGCTGAGCAAACTGACGATTGTGGAAGACCGGGAGTTTGAGGCCCCAGCAGCTGTGGGTGTGGGAGTTTCGATGAACGCCATCAACCACATCTCTGCGCGCAGCCGCCGCTTCCGGCGCTACCAGTCCCGGGTGAGTCAAGTGGCTTCCGCGGCTGTGAGGGGATGGCAAAAGACATGGGAGGGGATGGAAAAAGGATTGGGGCGTGGGAGCTGAGCTGAGCTGAGCTGGCAAGGAGCACGTGGAGAGATGACTGGGATATCGTGTCACCCGGGGGAAAACTCTCTCTCCGTCTATCCCTCGCCCTCGGTCCGTTCGCGTTCCCTAGACTCACTTGAGGAGAACGTCTCTGTCTGGCACCCGCTTAATCAAGTCTAACAACAACAAACACAACAACAACAATAACCCGCAGGCGCCCCTTCAGCGTGTTCACATGAAAATCCCATGGGCTGAGCCCGAGCAGCTGCCCGGCAACTTTCTGGAGCGTCTCAACCTGGCGCTATCTGAGGGACTGGACTGTATGGCTGTCGGGGTTTCCGTCAGGGCGGGGTGCATTGAGCTGGTCTTCGACATTGTGCCGCAAGGTGACTTGGGCGCAAGCCTGGCTGTGTGAACGGTGTAAACGTCGTCGGCTGCGTATGGGGGTCCGCCAGGGGGCCTTAGCGCTTTTGGGCCTGTTGATCCAGCGCGGGACGGGGCAGCTTGGCTTTGTAACGCTTTAGGGCGAGTGCAGGACCTGGCAGTTAACCTCAAGTCGCGCTGATTGAGATGTTTCGTTCCCGCACACCTTCCCATCCTCGCAGCTGCATTTGATAGCGCCACCGATTTCCAGGCGGGGCAGAGCCGCCGTCGTCACGCCCGACAGCACCCGCCTCGTGCGGGTCCGCACTTCGAAACATCCTCGACGACCGAGGCGCAGCTCCAGCTGCCATTGCAGCAGCAGGCGCCCCAGCACGGTCAGCTGCAGCCCGGTCACCTCGACCTGCTGGGCCAGGTTGGGCTCATTGGAGGCGGCGGCAGTGGCAGCGAGGAAGAGTCCGACCCGCACGGCGCGCTGGAAGCGGCAGTGCTGTCGGGGCTGCTGGGCGACGCCGAGCCGGCCTCCTGGATCGAGGCCCTGCACCTGCAGCCCCCGCCGGGTGCGGAGGTGCTCACGCAGGCGTGCGGCAGGTGGGGCGCGACTGGGCCGCGGTGGCCTAGGCGCACGCTTGGGGCCACCCCACACTTTAGACTCCTTCCCGTCTTGTTTAATGTTTTGGTTACCCACCCAGCTACGCCCCTTACCCAGCTGGCCCCTGGTGCGTGCCCCTGTTTCAACCTCAGGGTCTGGATCAGTCGGTGGGACCACACACTCCGCCAGTGGGTGCCAGAGAGAGTGGGGGGCATAAGGCCCTCGCAACTGCCACGAATTACACAAGTTCGACCTTCCTGCATCTTGGTTCGTCATGCGTCATCAGCCGCGGTTCTGACGGCAAACGGAGACGCGGGGCTAAGACAAAACGGCGGCACGGGGCCGGGTGGGCCGGCAGGGGCGGGCAGTGCCGTTGTACAGGTTACGGTGTCCAATGCAGATGGCGCGAACGCGCCTGTCTATTCTGCGAGGTGTCGTGGCAGGTGCGGTTGGGCCTAGGGTCTTGGGTGGGGCGGGGTCAGCCTTTACATGGAGGTGGATTGAGGTCGGGGAAATATAGGGAGAGGGCGTGGAGGGCTGAACAGGAGGCTCAGGTAGCGTTAAGTGGCACACAGCGCACCGAGCGTCTGCTGTGTTTCGATTGTTTGAAGCTCAAGGCAGCCCGAGCGGTGCTATAACCTTACCTCTTTCCCCACCCCCTTCCCCCGGCCCCGGTGCGGCCCTGCTTTGGCAGGTACCTCCCTGTGGTCGCACGGAGGCTGTCTGTGTCGGGGGGTGCAGGGGATGCCGGCCGCTGCGAGTCTGGCGACCAGGCCGGCCTGGCCACCTACGAGCTGGAGCTGGAGCCGGATGGGTTGCCCAGGAACGGGCTCGTTATTTTGGAGTGCAGGGTAAGATGTACGGCGATACCGAGCCTCATATTGCATATGGCGCCTGCGTTTCTGACAAACCCAGCACGGCGTGCGGTGCATTCAGAGGGATCGAAGGCATCGTGACGAGCCATGGGAAGGGTGCAATAGCGCAAAGCATGTTGGATGGTCAACAATGCTGTAGAGTGCCCGCGCCTCCGTTAATTTGACCACTTGAGCTGCTTCTGCAGGTGGGCAAGCTGCTTTCCAACTGGCGGCCAGTGATTGTGACGGAGGATGCGCACCTAGCTGAGGAGCTGGCGTCCCTACTTGCACCCTCGAGCTCGCCTCCATCCGCCGGACCCATGCCTGCCGACCACGGTGACTCGGCGTGTGTGATGCCCCTGGCGCTACATGACCTGGACTCCAATGCCGGCAGGGAGGGAGGAGGTAGCGCTTCTGGCTCCGACTGCGACGCAGATGCGTTCGGCTGGGACGAGCTGCACAGCGACCTTGGCCTTTGGCTGGACTACCTGGAGGTCCTAGGTCTCACCACGTCTGGAAGCAACGGTAACAGCCGCCGCCGCAGCGGGGAGGAGGGGCTGGTGGCAGCGGGGAGCGGTGGAGAGACCGGCTGCGGCGGGGCTAGGGGGCCCGGCGGCTTTGGAGCCGAGGCAGTGGAAGCGGGGAATGCTCGAACGGCCGGCGCGCTGGACTTACGCCCTGGGCTTGCTGTGCTGTACAGCGCAGAGAATTATCGGGCGCACATGGCTGGCATTGGTGTGTCGCTGCTGGAGTTTGCTGTGGACCGGGGCTGGTGGGTCGCCGGCGGGGCTGTTTGCGCCGCATGAGGGTTGGGAAGCGTATGCCAACTAGGTGTTTTGTTGGTACATTTTATTGGTACGCCATCGGATTCAATTTATTACTCGCAGCTCGCGCGACGATTGAATTCATGTTGGAGGGGACCCCTCGGCGCGTTTCCCTTAAGTGATGAAGTCGCACGTTGACGGCCTTGTTCCGCCTCCGGTGGCGAGGCACTTGCGTGTAGCGGTGCCAGGTCACGTATCCGGTGCGCCGCACAATGCAGCTTCACGAGGTAGCGTCACGTCCACTACTTCACCGACTAGGCTACGTATATTACACCTCATAACCTGGAGTCCAAAATCTTACCTGGCATAATCTATTAGGACCTAGCCCGTAGCCCGCTCCTGCCGTCGTAGCCCCGTGGTCACGTGCACTGCATGCCTGCTTCCTCCCTTCCCGATAACCTGTTCCCCAATCCCACAGGAGCCACACCGCCGGGATGCTGGTGGGGCAGATGCTTTCCGCCGGAATCCCCTGGGCCGAGGTGCTGCGCCGCTGCAGCGACGGCCTGACGCTGCTACACCGCGCCGTACGGTCAGGGCGCGGGGAAATGGTGCAGCTGGTGGTGCAGCTGGGCGAGCAGCATGGCACCCCCTTCAACTGGCAGGTGGGTGCCGGGTTGGGGGGAAGAGCGAGGACCGGACTAGTGGTAGGGCGGCAAGGCACGGGTACCCTACCCCGCGAAACGGAGATCTGGGAGTCCTGCGTTGCGCTACTACAGGGAGGGGACAGGCTCCAGTGCCTCCGCTCTATGTGCAATTAATTACCAGCGTGGGGTTGCGAGACATAAACGTCCCCTGTACGTCTTCCTTCCCGACCGCTTTCTAACGTCTTCACTTTACCGTGTAACGCGGTAACGTGCCACAGGCTGCGAGCTCGGAGGAGGACACCGCGAAGGGCGCCATCGGCAGCAGCGGCGTGACGCCCCTGCATCTGGCTGCCTCGCTGGCAGACGGGGGACGTCTGGCGGAGCGCATTCTCAGGGAGTACCAGGCCGCCTGCGAGCTGTGGGCCTCGGCTGTCGACTCGTATGGGATGCGACCCGTGGACTGTGCACGGGCCTTTGGGCACGTGCATCTGGTGGGAGAGACATGGAACACCCACGAAGCATCTGCTCCAGCGGTAACTGCGTTGGCGGTTGCGCCGGCGCCTTCCGGGGCCCCGCCGGGGAACCCGCAGAGGGCCCTTACCTCGGCGGCACCGGCGCAGGCAGCTTACACGCCGCCGTTCGATGCTAGCACTGCAGCTGGGACGAGCACTACGGCCAGCAGTACGGCGCTCATGGGGTGCAACACCGGAGATGAGGTGGAAGCCGCGAGCGGCAGTGTCGCCAGCGTCCGCCGCGACGCGCGCCCCCCTCACCCAGCCTTTGCCGTGGCGTCGACTGTCACGGAGGCGCTGCTCGGGGTGGCTCACCTAATGACAGCGCCCTTTGTGGGTGACCGGCACGCAGAGGCGGCGTACGTGCGGGCAGTTGGCGCCGAATACGTGCTGTGGTGTTGCGGATACCTGGTTTACCAGGTGAGGCTGGGCTGGCGCTGAGGTGGCGAGGGAAGGGAATATCGGTTAATATTTACCAGTTGCCGCGTGTGAGTCAACTTTGGGGTTTTTTTTATGTGTCTCTCCTTAATGTCTTCCTGATTCTAGCGGACGTCGCCTGCCGCCTTGTTTCCTTGCCTGATGTTCGTGGCTCACAGTGCCCTATCTGCCGTGTGCGCTGTTCGGCTCCCTGTGCAGTTCAGCACGGTGCTGGCAGTGGCGGGTCGTATGATGAAGGAGCTGCGCGGACACGAGATGGGGGGCATGGTGCTGTTCTGCTTCCCGCATGTAATCTCTGCCGCGCTTTTGTGCGCGGATTATAGCGCCTGGCTGCGACTGCGGGAGCCTCTGTGGGTCGCCGTTACGGTCACGCGGTCGCTCGCCAAATTGCTGCCTGCGATCGGCATGTTGCCTTATCCTGCTTCAGCTTCCAATTACCTGTCGGGTGGGATGGTGAGTGACAGCGTGGGTTGTTCCGATTGGGGTGGTGCGTGTGTGGTTGTGGCGTTATGGACGCAAGGTTGGTTTGCCGCTGGTGGCTGGGGCCGTCATTTGGTCTGAAGCACCGCGCCCTTGGCTCCCCGGGCAGCTCGGCCTCCGTCATACACCACCGCTGAGGGGGGGGTGGCGTGGGGGTGCAGCTCAGAGCTCCCTGGGGGTTAACCATGCGGGGATGTGGGGTACCATGCTGCTGTTCGCCGACCGGAAAGGTCTCCATGCACCGTGTATGTAGCCCGTACTCGTCCGCCAACCCTAAACGCCAAACCAATACCTACGGTTCCGCTCCTGACACCGCTAGTCCGCACCGCTAGTCCCTTTGGCGGTACGTCTCTCGGCCTCCTTCGTCCCGGGGTCCCGGCTGGTTCGGCTCACTTGTTGCCCACACTCTCACTCTCACCCTCACTCTCTGTGAAACGCGCAGGACGTGCTCCTGGAGGGCTTGATACCCGCCTACTTTGAGCGCATGCGGGCGCCCATCGTGCTACCGCTTCGGGCGTTGGAGGGCCTCGCCACTGGGCTGTTGTACCGCAGCCACCGTGTGAAGCTGCGCCTGGCGCCGGAGGGCGTCTCTGAGGTCGCCTACGCCATGGCTTGGACGCTGGGCTGCGGTGTCATCACTGCGGCACTGGACGTCAGCTGCCGGCGGCGGCTCGCCGCGGCGGTGGGGGCGTACAGCGCCGGCGGTGGCAGCCGGGCGCCGGGGGCTCGGACCCGCGGCAGCGCGGTGCCGGAGGTGGAGGGTGTCTCAGCGCCACCGTCGCATAT